ATCCTTCTAGACACTCCACATAACCTATTGTGTGTTTTGTATGAAGGCTAGGTCTACATGAGTATTGCAGAATGGAGAACTAAAACATTACTCAGATAATTAAAGGTTTAAAAAAAACCTTGAATGCCTATATAATGAAGAGAGCATTTTGGGGGACTTTACTTATGTGCACACTTGCAACAATTCTCCACTTCATTTCACAAATATAGACCTAGCCATAAAGTAGCTAGTTAATTCTGTTCTACACAGCCAATCTGAAATGGAAGGTGGGGCAGTTATCCAGGTAAAGCAAGCCAAATCAATTATGGTCTGACCACAGTGAATTTAATCCTTTCTGAAAATAGGACTGTCCTCCCTTCCCCACTCCCCCATCCCAACTATATAACTGGACGGTTGGGAAACAAAGAGCCAGTACCTAAGCCATTGCTTCTTCAGGAAAGCCAGGAAGAGCAGGGAAAGGCTACAAGCCCATGACTGAGCTGCTTGTGGCTTTAAAAAAATAAAGCAACAAAAAATAAACTGCGACATGTTGTCCCAACCTACCCAGATTGACTCTCTCTGCTGTTTGAATTTGTGATAATTGCATGACCTTTTCCTTTCCGGTGGTTGTGTAGATCAGATCCCACAGTAATGCACTTCTTTTCATTTATATTTTCTATCAGGTAATGTCCTGTACATAAATATATTCAGTTAACATCTATTGATTAATACAGATGGTTCACATTCATTTTTAGTTTCAAATGACACTGATCAACGAAGATTCAATCAGTTTATCTTTTTTTTTCTTACATTACAACCACAGTGAACTAATGGACTGGTTATCTGGATAATCTTTTCAAAACCAAATTGTCTAGACAGTAGATTGCCGTGGTTGGGTAACTGGGCTATGAAGAGTCAAGCTGGTGGTTTGTTATAAACTCAGCTAAACTCTATGATACAGTATCTGACTGTATTTTTTATGTCAAATAACAATAGTTGCCAATCAGCAATGATGCCAGATGCAAACCAATGGCTCCTAACCCCATCTGATAATTCTCAAAGGGGTCAGGTTGGAGAGAATACAAATTGAAAATATGGTTGAAAACAAAACATTTCTTAACATAAGTTTAAGAATAAAATTGAATAAATATAATATCCTAAGCAACATATCTTTATCCTCAAATCTCAGAGAAATAGCAATCTTTTTGATTATTGCTTAATTTCCTCTGATAATGAATGGAAGGATAAATATATTTAACAAACTGCAGCTTCAAAAATGAGTGTACCAAACAATTTTATTAATTTCTCATACAAAATAGCATTTAGTAAATTCTGTCTAATACCTTGATGTTGCTGAAAGCAAACAGAGGTCATTAAAACATTTTCTTTTCAGTGACCAAATAGCATTAACTCTATTTTGTACTATAAACTAATCTAAAAATATTAATGATCAAAGCAGGGTAAAAACAATACAATTTGTTTCTTTACTTTATTTCAAAATAGTGATTATAAATACATTCTTATTATATTTCCTCCCCCAGCTCTTTGGATGCAACAACAATAACGACAAAAAAAAACCTCACTGTGCTCATTTCATACAATATCAATGTACAAATCATGCAAAAGATAAGATAGATTAATAATATCACCACCATAAATTTCTAGATGTGATGTTATATCTGAAATATCTGTTAACATTAGTCATGAGGCCATGCCCTTTATAATGTATGCATCCTTATGGCTTTTAAAACAAAAGAAAAAATAAAAGGAAATAAAGAAACAAGTCTAATTAAAGTGGCTTTAAATGATTTTCTGATTAAGATTTTTATTCTGTTTAATATTCAGCAAGATAAGCTAAATTTTGACTACACATCAGCTTACACGGTACTTGAACCACTGTACTTAAATAGCTGCTTTCTGATGAAATTACACAAAGATGTATTCTTTCAAAGAAATGATTAATCTTTATTAATTTTCATAAAAAAATAATTTAAGACTTACTTGAGAATACATGGACACAATATATTTTTGTAACCCTTCCATTACTGCTTATATCAGTGCTCATTTCCCTTGCAACAGTTCTAAAAGAATCCATTCAAATGCGTACAGAGCCAAAAAGGCCACGATTTGTCCAGCCACACTGACAAGCTGTGGTTCTTGGGTTTTCTCCATTTGAATGCAAGTTCTACTAGAAATGTTGAACCAAAATATATGCACTACCCCTCCAAGGATTAAACTAACATCGATTGTATTTATACCGACAAAATATGGAGATATAGTATCTTGACAGCTTTTGCACTCAACCCAAAACTTACACCTAAGTACAATACTGTAAAATTTTCAAAAAGAACTGTGGACGGACCTGTGCAAAATAGTATACACTGTATAATGTAGGCACAATGAATTTGGTTAAGGATAGCATCTCAGCCTTAACTACTAGTCTTCTAACCACCATTCAGTTATAGTCAGTACCTCCAAATAACCATGCTTCTGGAATTTCCTTTTTTTTTAATTGAACATTTTTGTTTTTTGTTTTTGAATCTCTCTCAAGAGACCAAGATACAGACAGTATGCTAGCTAGTTACAGAGAGTCTTCAGATTGTGGCAGGAAGTCTTCTCACTGCCAATCTTCTGGCAACCTTTTAGCTTGCCTGCACTGGATAAAAGGTATCATCACAATGGCCTAGCACCCCCAAATCGCTGATGAAACTAAACTATCAGTGTTCATCATGGAAGCGTCCACTTCAGATTTCACAATCCATACTTCATTGATCGTAGGATCAACTAAAATACTTCCGAGTTTTTGCTCGTTTTTTTTGTCCTGTAAGATCTCTATGCATTTAGGAAGCCTTGACTCCACGGATGCATACGTGTTTGGTAGTGACATCATAAAATTTCAGATGGCATTTTGGTTGAACACCGTCTGTCACGCATGTAACTTAATGCCAATTTTCAACCTTGGAATTCAATAGCTGTTTCAGGCTTTTTGTAAATGTGTATAAATTTCTCACACAAACTTTGTGTCAAGGAAACCACACGCCTTAAAGTTCTAAGAGCACCACCAGCGAGGAGATGTGAAAACTGAGGAGAGAATTCTTTTTACTCTCCTTGAAAATATTTTTAAAACCAATTTTGTATATATATGCATATATATATATATACATCTATATATATATACACACATACATAAGTATATTTTAAATCTAGGTTGTATGCCAAACATCCTTCCAGAGCAAATACAGAAGGCCCTGGACATGAAGAGTTTATCACCAAGATTGTTGTTAGGACTTCTGCCACAGTGTCATCTCAGAAGTATCACTTGAAAAGCATGAAGAAAATCTGTTTACTTTCCTTGTCACTGGATTGATCAATGTATTGATTACAGAAGGTGGCAGAGGGCAACATTATGGAGGCAGGTCAAAGCAGAATGGCTTTCCCATTGGTACTTTGCCAAGAAGGAGAGAGTCTCTGTATCTTGCAAACACCTTCGATGAATGGGTGTTTGAGTATCTTGATCCGTTTGACTCCCACCTTATCTGCCAAAACAACCACAATGGTGTCATTTGGGGAGTCATGGGACTATAAAATACTGTGAACTGAACTGAGACCAATAAATGCATTTTACAATGTGGCCTCTACCAGCCAAGATTACCATGTTTACTGTTCTACTTGATTATCTGACATTGGTCAGAGATTGAAGGAACAGTACACTGGTGCATATTAAAATGAAGCTATTTACCTTACTTTTTACTTTTTTTTTTTGTAAATACTTGTAGTGAAAACTATTTAGATTAAGCTGTAGAACCCTGAAAAGCAAGACAACTGATGGCAAATACCAACTGTCCGAGAGACACGATACTATAAAACTAATGAATCTATTTGAAAATGCACAATTGGTAACAAATCTGAAGATAATATGCTAATTTCACAAGAATAGCACAGAACACCTTTTTTTTTTGTTTGTTTGTTTGTTTTAAATTATACCTGATCACATTATCCAGAATAGTTCTATACACTTCATCTCTTGCTTTTGGGGTTGGTATATTTTCTCTGTTTTAATTTCTATTGAATGATAGATGCACTGTGATCAGGAAAACAAGTCAGGCATATTAAATACATATTAAGGAGTACATGTTTTGCTATTTAGTGTACAAGGTATTTCATAAATATGAATTATATTACAAAAATAGTTTCTGGTGCGCTCACATGGTAAGCATTTGGCTAATTTTGGCCAACCTTAGAGGATTGTAGCTATTTCCCATAACTGAGGACAAACTCTAGTTATAGTTTGAATTTTGAGTTGTATTTAATTCTGCATTAACATCAATTATTTCTTCAGGTCACCACAAATGCTGTATAAATCACATTGATTTTTTTCTCTTTTAAATTTTATGTATAGACAGGTATGCTCGAAGTGTTCAAATTTATTTTCATCGGTATGTAATGCATGGTATATTTTAAACAAATATTTGCACAATTTAACATCAGTAAATCCAGTGGTTTCAAGATGCAGGCCATAAAGGTTACCAATTTACAAATACTACCGAATGTTCTCTCTTTGCATGCTTTTAAAAAAACTTTTCAGAGAATCTTTAAACAGAGTTGTTACAATGCCACAAATCAAAAGGATTACTCCAGTTCCACCACCAACTTAATCCACGTGCAAGATGAAGGACCCAGCTGAGGTACAAACACTGCTACCAGTTTGCTTGTGTTTGTTTTAACAAATCACAAGGAGGCGAAGGTTTTGCAGTGGGGGAGGGGGTACAAAACCAATTTGCCCCTTGTGGTTAAATTCAGAGTAATATGTATATAAAGCATCCCTTTGGCAATAGAGTTTGCAGTATCCCCACAGGATTCCACAGTCTAAGTTTTATGGAGTGAAATCCATTAAAGGTCAAAATCCTTCTCTATTTGACAACTCATATGTGACTACAGTTAATCTGACACCCTTGGAAACACCTGCCTCTACGCCTATTGATAATATAGAATTTGGAAGTTAGAAGTCAACAAAAGGCACTTTCATCATTAAATAAATGTCCTCTGTAGGAAATAAGACTGCATGACCTATATTTTGTTCAAAGCTGTTTGCTCTTCAAGGACTTGTAGGTAGTCGGGAGAACTCTGAAGTTTTGCTTTTAGTTCAAAATATTCACTCTTTCTCTGCTCTACAACAATTTTACTATGATTACCTCCTATTAGTGATTTCTTATTTTTCTTATCTTGTTGCTTTTCTGGATAGCGGATCTCAAAGCCACTGACCCCGATGCTGTTGTACTCCTTTTTGCTTTCCAGAAAATTCTGAATGAATACATTTGAATCCCGGCCAGGGAATAATTCATCCAACTCATCAATTGTGCTCAGTCTTTTCCTGGTATCCACATGGACGAGATCTTTATCCTTTTCAGGAGCATTTCTCAGGATGACTTTCTGTCCTGGTGGCTCAGAGAACATGAAACCTGCTTCAGACTCTTTCAGGCCACACGTGTGGCTCTTGCTCATTTGCTCAATGGTCTGCGGGATGAAGGCTTCTGCTGCAAGCCCATCCTTCTTGCTGGTCTTGTGCTCATGCTTTCTCAGCTGCAGTTGCATGGAACTGCATTCTGGGTTCCCGAGGCCTTCGTGTTTCACGATCGGCTTCTTGTTTCGCCGGAGCACAAAGACTAGGAGGCAGAAAGCAACAAACACAGTTAAAATCAAGACCACCAGAATACTCAAGATTAAAATGGACAGAGGGACTGGGCCTCCAGGAGGACTTCGGATGGGCCCCATTGGTGTCGTGAGGGTAATGGCAGGTATGGGGCTAGTGAAGGGAGAAGAAGGCCTGTTGAGCAGCTTTGGACACAGGATTTCGTTTTTGAGGGATTTCAGTTCAATGCTGGCAAACTGTACTGGTGTTTCACATTTCAGCTCCTTCATCACAATATCATCTTTTAGTTTCTCCAGCCATAGCTTTAGGGCCACCAAGTCACAAGTGCAGTCCCATGGGTTGCCCTCAAGGTCTATCTGTGTAAGGGACTGGAGCTGATCAAGCACCCCACTCACAGGCAGGTACATGAATTTGTTGTTCCTCAGGTTCAGCCGAGCGAGAGGAGCACCTGCAAAGATGTAAACCGGCAGGCTCTTTAAGAGGTTATTATTCAAATATAACAACTGCAGATTGGGCATGGAGTCAAAGGTGCCGGCTAAGATTTCTATGATCCAGTTGTATTCCAGGTAGAGATACTGCAGGTTGTACAGACCTGCAAACATTTCAGGGTACAGCCGTTCTAGCTGATTGCCATTGAGATAGAGTCTGCGGAGATTGGTGAGATTCCGGAACACCTCTCCCTTGATCGCTGTGATCTGATTGCTGCCTAAATGGAGTAGATCCAGACCTTCGAATTCAGTGAAATCTGAGGTGTCCACATCTTTAATCTGATTGCCATTGACATGCAGCTTCTTGGCATTTAAGGGTTTGGGCATCAACTCGGCCATCGATTGTATATTTTTTTCTTGGCAATTGACACTTAATCCCAAATCAGAAGGGTGAGTTTTGCAAAAACAAGGGATTGGGCAAGGTGTCAGTGGTGGTACCCTAGTCTGATAAGATACAATTTGACTCAGATTACGATTTGAGAGTGCTTTGCCTGCAACGATACTAGAGATTTTTGAAGGATTGGTTGTTTTGGGGGGCTTTGTCACTAATCTTTGTAACGAGGTTTGGGTTGTATGGCCATTGGGTGTGGTATAGCCATTTTCCAGCTGAGAGGGTGGTAGGATCCGCACATCAAAATCACTTCCAGTTCCCATGGAACATAATTCTTGCTTATTGGTTTCCTTCAGAAGCCTCCCATACAAGTCACTGGGTGTTTCACAGATAGCTTCTCCTATGTAAATGTTATATGGCATGTTCTCCAGCCATGCTTTCAAAGGCAGCAAATCACAACTGCAATTCCAAGGGTTATCTTCAAGCTGTAATTCAACGACACGGCCAATGTGTTCCAGCACACCAATGTAGGGCAGCTTCTGTATTCGATTCCCACGGATATCCAGATGGGTCAAAGATGCAAATCGGAAAATATTATCGGGAAGGAACGAAATCAGATTGTCATTCAGAATGAGCACTTTCAGTTTATGGAGTTTATTGAAGGCTCCCCGTTCAATATACTTGATTAAATTGTAGTCGGCCTGGAGATACTCCAAGTTCTCTATGCCAAGGAAAGTGTCAGCTCGGAGAACCTTTAATTCATTGTTATTCAAGTGCAACTGTTTTAATGCACTGAGCCCCAGGAAGGCTCCTCCCTCAATGTTCTGCAATTTATTATTCCCCAGCTGCAGGGAGACTGCATGTGAAAAATTTAGGAATGTATTGGGATAGAGGACAATTAACAAATTATTTTGAAAATTTAGGTGGTAAAAATTTGACCAGGGTGGTTTCAATTGATTTGGTCTGAAGACAGAAACCTTTTCACAGTTGACATAGAGCACGTTCTCCACCGACACACAGGAGCACACATTGCAAATTTCCACCGAGGGGTCAGACTCTGCATTTGTTGAAGCAGAAATGGGGGTAGACAAAACCAGAAAGAGCCAAAGTAACATCTTCTTGCATTCAGCAAACAACTTTATGCTTCTGAATAAAGACAAAGAATCTAAAAAAAAAAAAAAAAGAAAGAAAGAAAACATTTTTTTCAATGGTCATTCTCTTGAAAATTCATCTGGGTAAAAACGAAACCCTAGTGAATTATTAGGCAATATATGTCATATATATGTGTGTATAGAGACATATATATATATATATGCACATATTTTACGTCTGTCTACATATAGATATAGGTGTATATATGCATATATGGACATATACACACATACATATATAAAATATATATTTAAGCCACAGAAATTTAATATATGCTAAAACCTGACACTGATCCCACCCAGAAAACCCAATCCAAACACCATGCATCTCTTTGACTTTAGTTCTAATGATTTGTGTAGAATGTACATAATGGCGTAGGGTAAAAACAGCAAATACAAGGAAAGATTTCTAATTATGGCAAAAGCCCGGCCATTCTGTAAACATTTCCTCTACGCAGCTTGTGCCAAAGCCTTCCTTAGCACTGACCCGAGTAGAGGTCCCTAGTCATTGAATGCTCAAGTCCAGAACCAGAACCACAAAGGAGTTCCAATGTGTGAATTTCAATTCTCTAGGTGTTAGCATGATTAGAAAGGTAGATCAGAAGGCAGAATAGTATAAGGCTTGACTGAGGGACAAAATAAAAGGGCTAGATTAGTGTGGAGCCCAGGCAGTTGAGAGACAGAAGTAGCAAGGGGCACAGGGCAAAGATACAAGAGCAGCAACAACAATACCTTTCTATTTGTACAGCAGTTTAAAGTATGCAAATTGCTTTTGTATCCACCATCTATTTTGAGCCTCACAGTATCCCTGTAATGTAGATAGGGTAGGCAGTATTGTCTCCCTTTCTACAGCCAAGGAAACTAAAATTTAGAGAGAAAAAGTGAGTTGCCCAAGGTCACTCAGCTTCTCCCTCCAAGTCCTACGGTCTTTCAACCATACCAATATGGTTTAGCTTAAGTCTACACAGTTGGGCTGAATTCTACTGAATAGTACACTCCTATGATTTTCAGTCTAAGACAAGGCAGGTGTTGATATAGGAAGAGGAAAAATAACCAGGGGAGTAAAAGGGGAAAGATTTGTTATATGGAAGATGTCTGTAGCTATAGGACAGTCACATAACACACACACACACACACACACACACACACACACACACACACTAGCAACAACCAATCACAACAAAACTTGTCCTGAGGGAGTCCACAGGAAGAAATTTTCTATTTGAATGCAGAGATGAATAGCTGATCTATCTTGGCATTACAGAGACTGTTGCCTCACTTTACTTCATGTCTCTCTTCCCTTTCCTTTTTAGCTTCAGTCCATATGTTGGCTGCTACTTAGTCCAAACTCCTACTCCAGCCTCCTTTTACCACTGTCTACCACTGCCTGAGATATGGAGTTCACACAGCAACATTCCTATGTGGCTCTAGCTGGGGAGCTAGATGTACTCTGTAGTCACAGCAGATTCTTGTCTTAAATTAATCAGTTCCCAGCTGTTCCCCCCTTCCCCCACACACCCTTCTTACCCCTGATCTCTAAGCAAATAGAATAACATTTGTTGGTAGAGTTTAATGGTTAGCAAATTAGCCCATTTTCTCCAACTTTTCACATATTCCAGCACATATACACGAATTTCTGCAAAACAGATTTCCAGAAACATATAAAGCATGCATTTTCTTTTTATTTGTGCAGGTTTAGCCATGTCATTTCTTTTCATGGTAAATAGCCAGAAAGCTGGTATTTCAAACTGGTTACCTTCATATCATAATAAAAATCTATAAATTACCTAGAAATGCACAAGAGGAAAATGATGCAGTGAAAGACATATCCTATAGACACCCTTTTGTTTATTTTGCCCATGAGGAATGTCTATAATAATAACATATCACATCCATAAAAGCAGACAAACCATTATGCATGACCTACAGAGATCTATAGTTTTAAGGTGGGCCAAACAGAAACACAGAACTGTGCTGCCAGAATGCTAATTGGATGCTGTAAAGACATACATTGACCCTGGTTGGTGTGACGGCATGACTGGTAGTGCAAAAGAAGTCACAATTCATAAGAATGACATCACCAAAATCTCAAAACAACTCTCATTATCAAATGGAGATTTTTTGGGGACCGTTTGCCTTGGCATGACCATGGATCCCCAGCTACCCATGTCCAGTTCAGCCATTTCCAGACACTTTTCTTCCTCAGGTATAAACCTAAATCTTAACCAGAAACGAGCAAACAAAAAAAGCAACACCAACAGAACCTCAATTGAAAAGGGGGCTCCCTTCCCCCTCCAGATTTCTACTGTGGGTAACAAAAAAGGGGGGCAGGGAAGAACTAGGAGGAAGTTAAAAAAAAGCAGCTCCCTTGGAAAAGGAGGAAACAAGAGCCAGCTGGAATGGGAGAGAATAGGGAAAGAGGGAGTTCCAAGGAGAAGAGAATGACAAGAAGGAGCCAGAAAGAGGACAGAAGGATTAAGAGAAACTGGAAAGAGGGCAGAGGGGATGGAAAAGAATGAAAACAGGGCAGAGGGTAAAAGGACAAAGTCAAAGAATTGCAGGAGCTAAACAAACATTTAGCAAATGGTAGAAAAAATAATACACTACTTAAAGCACTCTTGGGATGCTGCTAGGCACCTCTCCAGCCTTCCCAAGTGTCCTGCGGGGTGCTTTGTCAGCCAGATGCCCCTCTCGAGCTCCCGGAGACTGGCATGTACACACATAGGAAGTCTTAGCAAAAATCATTCACCCACTCTGCGAGCGTATGATCGCAGCTCATGCCCGGAGAGGGTGGGGGAGGGAAAGAGGAGGGGGAGCGGGGGAGCAGAACAGGCACAGGGCTAGTGGGAAGATGGCAAATGAAGCAGCCGTTTGCCTGCCTAGGGAAAGACGGAATAGAGATGCCGCCGCTCCGAGCTCCGAAAGGAGTCCCGAGGTAGCCGATGGCAGCGACAGCGAGTACCGCATTGCCGCAACCCCGTGCCCAGGGCCGGGGCTGAAGCCGGTCGGGCTGTTTCCCTGAGCGTCCCCCTTCAGCTGCCCAGGCTGAGAGATTGGCACGGGGGCAGTCCTATCCCAACCCACCGAGGGTAGCAGCTGGAGTTTCCCAGACGCCTCTTTAAAGCCACGGAGAGATGGGGGGGGCAGGGTTTGAGCATGCCAGGCTTCGAAGGCTGGAGTCTCTCCGCAACCCCCCTTTCCTTCCCTTCTCTCCCCCCCTGTCGAAAGTGCCCTGCTCTTTCCCCTCACTCTCAGCCCGTGCCAGCTCAGAATGGACCAGGGCAGAAGGGGAGCGGTATTCAGGCATCTCCATCCTTTCTGCGATCAGAACGTCCCCCAGACCCGGCCAGAACCCCGACCTTTCAAAGTCGTTTTTCCAGTCTCCACCCCCGGCTTCGGCTCCTCTGTGCCAGAGCCCCCTGCTTACCCACCAGATCGTGCTAGCTGCAGCATCTCGTTAAGGTCCCAGGCAAGTGCCGAGCCCCTGGCCCGACGAAGTGGTTGCGAAGGGTCAAAGGCGCCGAGAGAGAGAGAGAGAGAGGAGGCCCGTGGGCCAGCTGGCGGGCGCCGAGAGTCGGAGCCCGGGGGCAACTAGGTCCCCTTTGGGTGCCCGAATCCAGGGCTGCCGCTAACACCCATCGCCGGAGAGGATTCCCCGGGTACCCGAGCCCAGGCAACAAGGAGGCGGCGACCACACGCCCTGCGCTCCGAGGGCACCCAGCAAACTCGGGATGCTTCCCCCACCCCCAACAACCTCGCCGCCTCCCCAGTGTGCCTGGGTGGGAGGGCAGGCCAGGGTGGGGGATGGAGCGCCCAGCCTGCCTCCCACTGGTCGGGCACCTACCTCTCCTCTGCTCTCCTCTCAGCTCCGCTCTCCTCCCCTACTCTGCTTAGCTTCGTTGCTGTGGTTGGACTGCTCGCCTCCCCTCTGTTCGCCTCCGGTCCCCTCCCCTCTGCTCTGCTCTGCTCTGCTCTCCTCTCCGATCCGGACACATCTAAGCCTGCCCGGCTGCTCCTGCCTGCCTGCCTCCCTCCACCCCTCCTCCTCCCTCCCTCCCTTTCTCCCTCCCTCCTTCTCTTCTTCCCTGCCTCCCTCCCTCCCTGCTTGCCTTCCTATCTGCTCTGCAGTTTTTGCGATTGTCTGTCTCTACGTGATCTGGACTTCTGCTCCTCCGCACACTCTCACTCCTCGCGCGCGCACACACGCGCTCACACACACATCTACACAGAGAGAGGGACTCACAGACAGGAACATACACACACATACACACACTCACAGTCGCGCGCACTTGGGTGCGGATAGACGGACGGACGGACACACACTCACACCGATTCCTCTGACAGCCAGGCTGCACCTTTATATACACGCACAGAAGTCTTTCCTCCCTTCTCCCCTCCCCGCGCACGCACGCACACACACACACACACACACACACACACGCACGCACACTCACATATAACCCCTCCACAGTACTGCCTCTCCCCAAGCACATTCCTGGTCCCCTACCTCGGCCACGGTGCCCCAGTCCTGGGCGCGCGCACACACGCACACAGACATGGACACACACACACACACACACACACACACATGCACATACACACAACACAGAACACACTTTTTTCTGTCCTCCCCCACCGTACACTTTCCCCCAGTGAGGCAGCCCCCAGCCTCCAGGGACCCTCTAGTAGAGCGAAGGTCCCCGCCCCCCCCAAGTCTTTGCTCCCACCCCCGTCCATTCTAGCGGGAGCGCGCGCACACACATGCACACACACACACACACACACACACACACACACTGACAGGCGCGCACTCACAATCAATCGATCGATCGATTGATCAACGAGCAAAGATGTCTCTGGGGGCATTCCTGGGAGACAGCAAGCAAGCACTACCAGCTGGAGAAGGACCCCCCTTCCAGGGCGGGGGGGGGGGGTGGAGTGGGGGGGGGGGGGTGGGGGGGGGAGAGTGTCACGCAGCC